CCTCCCCCTCCCCTCCTCCTCCTCGATCCTCCTCCTCCTCCTCTTCGTCCTCCTCCTCCTCCTCCTCCTCCTCCTCCTCCTCCCCTCCCCCTCCCCCTCCCTACTCCTCCTCCTCCTCCTCCTCCTCCTCCTCCTGTCCTCCTCCTCCTCCTCCTGTTCCTCCTCCTCCTCCTCCTCCTCCTCCCTGTTCCTCCTCCTCCTGTTCCTCCTCCTCCTCCTCCTCCTCCTCCTCCTCCTCCTCCTCCTCCTCCTCCGCCTTCGCCTCCGCCTCCTCCTCCTCCTCCTCCTGGCCTAAGGTGTCCCCAGCCTCTCGCTACATCGCTGGAGCACCCTGGGGCCCTCGGGGCCTGGCGGGGGTGTGCGCTGGAGGCCGTGGACGGGGCTCCTTGGAAACATCCTGGGGACCCCCCCAGCAGGAGGACGAGGAGGAGGAGGAGGAGGAGGAGGAGGAGGGATGAAGGAGAGGAGAAGGGAGGAGAGGAAGGAGGAGAGGAGGGGAGGAGGAGGAGGAGGAGGAGGAGCAGGAGGGGAGGGGGGGGAGGGGGAGGGGGAGGGGGAGGGGAGGGGGGGAGAGGAGGAGGAGGAGGAGGAGGAGGAGGAGAGGAGGAGGAGGAGGAGGAGGAGGAGGAGAAGAGAGAAGGAGGAGGAGGAGGAGGAGGAGGAGGAGGAGAGAAGGAGGAGGAGGAGGAGGAGGAGGAGAGAGAGAGAGAAGGAGAAGGAGGAGGAGGATCGAGGAGGAGGAGGAGGGGAGGATCGAGGAGGAGGAGGATCGAGGAGGAGGAGGAGGAGGAAGAGGACGAGACGGAGGAGGAAGAGGAGGAGACGGAGGAGGAAGAGACGGAGGAGGAGGAGGAGGAAGAGGAGGAGGAGGAGGAGGAGGACAAGCACGAGGAGGAGGAGAATTCGGCCCAAGGCACTTTGCCAGAAGTGCCCCTGGCCAAAGGCACCCTCGGCCAAGGGCACTTATCGCAGCACCGGAAGCGGAGCTGGAATCCGCGACACGCCGCCGACAGGATCGGCGGCAGCTCCTGGGCGGGGCGGGCCATCGGGCCCCCCAGCGGCGCCGAGTGGGCGACTGGAGGACGATGCGCCGATGCACCCCCGGAGCCTAGATCCCCCCAAAAATGTTCCCTCCGATCTCTGATCCAAGGGGGCGGCGCGAGGTTGGCGGCCCTCTGAAAGGCGGAAAGGAGTTCTAAGAAGGCAAGGAGGAGGAGGAGGAGGAGGAGGAGGAGGAGGAGGAAGTGGAGGAGCCCTCTCCTGGCTTCTGCGGAGCCTGGAAGCCTCCGCAGACTACTCTGAGAGGGGCCCCGCCTCCCAAGGCAGGATCAACCAGCATCGAATCGGGACGTCGCACTCGGAACGTGTGAATACTGAATCGGGCCGCGTCGGCACGGAATCGGAACATCGAGGCGGATCGGCCGCGCCATGATCTGATGCATAACAGCGCCATGCGAACATCATCGGAAATGAATCGGATCGCGCCAGCCTGAACCGACATCTGATCGGATCGGATCGCAATGGACCGTGTACGGAGCGCCCGGCCCTCCGTCCTCATGCCAGCGTCTTCAGAAGGGGGGGCGGGGCTCGACCCAAACGGGACGCTCAGGGGCGTGCTCGTACTGTACAGTCGACCCGTACCATAGGGATGCAAAATACGGATGCAGGGGTTTGGAAGGCCAGTTCGAAGCTCTGCGAGCGGGGCGCGGCCAGCGAAAGTGGCAAAGGATGGACCGAGGAGGCAAGGGTGCAAGGGTACCCTTAAGAAAATTGCCCATCCCTACTATGCGGGTTGACTGTGCAGTGGAGGCCAGTCAACAAGAAACCTTCCACAAGAAAGCCAGCCCTGAGACCCCAGGACGCCCATTCAATTTTAGTGTAGGAACGTCAAGCTCTCCACGGCAAAACCATCGAAACCCAAGCAAGAAACCCAGGGCACCCTGGAGGCGAGCAGGGTGCTTCTTGGCATAGTTCTCCACTGTACCAAGGGAACGAATAACGGCACAAACATCAAAATCTCGGAGGTCCGCGCGGATTCCTCGGATCGGCGCTGCATCCCCCTGGCGTTAAGTCGGGCCTGTCCCCCTACAGGGGGATTATCGACAGAAAAAAATAAAAATACCCCCAACAATACACCAAAAAGGTCAACACATACTAAAAAAAGTCGTACCTAGACTATTTTCGGATCATGTTTGGACTATTTTGGTGTTATTTTTCTATGTTTCGTCGAAAATCCCCCTGTAGAGGGGGGACAGGCCCGACTTGCCCCTGGCGCGCGGAGCGCGCCAGAGGCGCCCGCCCGCCCGAGCGGTACGTGAACCAGCCTCGAACAAAATCCCTATCCCTGAGATGGGCGAGCAGAAAGCGAGGACAACCTCAGGGGCAGGCCCTCAGAGGAGGAGGGGGAGGAGGAGGAGGAGGAGGAGGAGGAGAAACCAAGGGAATCCTCAAGATCGGCATCGAGGTGAGGCGATGTCAAACATAGGGACAGGGATACGCTTCCAGCTGGCAAGGCACGGCCAGGCCGCGCCCGCCCTCTCGGCACGCCGCCCCCCCTCGGGGCACGCCGCCCCGTGCGCGCCGCCGCCGACGCCCGACCCGCCACCGCTCGGACGCGCCCCCTGCCCCCGTGCCTTCTTCGAGCCCGCGCGCGCCCCTCTCTGACGAGGCCCTGGGACACGCAGAGAGATGCACACAACTGAAAAGAGTCCCCATATATTTCCGCATGTTCTCTGGGTTCTCGTCTGCCCGCCCAAGTCCCGTGCTCTCCAATCTTTTCTCGGGGATCGCGGATTAATCGTGTCTGTGTGTGTTTTTCCCTCCTGACTCTTGCTTGGCAGGGAGATCCAGGATGCTGCCCAATCGGGTGTTGCTAGAAGTGCCCCTGGCCCAAGGTACCCCCAGGACTCTCGGGGTGGCCCAGACGGCCTCCGGGGCACCCCGAGGCCCAGAGGGCCCCAGGGGCTCCAGAATGGAGCGAAACGCTGGGGGCGCCTTGGGCCAGGGGTAACCCTGGCGAGCAAACAGTAACCCCCCCGGCGATATCGCTAGCACAGAAAATAAAATAATTAATTATGTTGGGCGGCGCCCTCCGGCGATATCGTTAGCACATAAAAAATAAAATAAAATAATTAATTAATTAGTTAATTAATTTGCCCCCCCCCCCGGGCCCGAAGCTGGCGGCAACGCGAGGTGACAGCCTGAAGAACCAACGCGCACGAACGCTTGCCAATGGGTTCCCGCCTTGCTAGAACACTGGGAAACTGACGCGCATCGGAAATCAAAGGTAAATCATAAATGACAAACAATGAAATCACCGCAAGCAACTATACTTGAAAGGACCACCCAAAGGAATCCCAGAGAAATCTCAGAAGGAAGCCCACGCAGAATCTCAAAGGACCCCTATTGGAAATTCAAACTAATCTCAAAAAGGAACCCCACAGAAATCGCAAAGGGATCTCAGCGGCAGCTCAAACGAACCACGAAGGAATCTAAGGAATCTGGAAAACGCGGGCTCGCGTGGACATAAGCAAACCCTATTGCGGCCGCAAAAAAGAAATTGTTTTTTTCACGGGGTCCTATGGGAGAGTCCACGGAGGGATATCGCAGACGGATTCCGCGAACCCCCCCGCGATATGTTAGCACATTTATTGAAAATAAAATAATCCACAGGCGCCGAGGAGTCTCGAGAGGAGTCTCAAAGGAGTCCCAAAATAATCACAATGGAAACGGCAAGGAATCTCAAAAGAAGCCAATCGTGACGAATCTCACAGAAACGCACAGAATCACAGGAAGCGACTCTGGGCAGGTGTGCCTTGTCGCTGGGCTCTGGACTACAAGGGGACCGGGCATTCAGAGGCTTGTGGAGGCCTTTCTGGATGCCTCCTGGGAACCTCTGGGGACCTCCCCTCCGCGGACCTCTGGTGACCTGCGGGGGATATCGCTTCCGCCCCGGCCCAGGTGCCGGAAGCGTTATAATTTCCTCTGATAAGGGGGGGGGGAGGGGGGTTTACTGATTGCTTCCAAGGGTTACTTCTAGCAACACCCGCCCCCATGGCCCTCGCCGAGGAGAAACAACTCCACGCGCCCGAGCGATGTCATGACACAGAGACCCGCCGCCGCCCGCCGCCACCGTGCGGCACCTCGCCGGCAGCCGCGAGAGCGCTCGCTCCTCAGCCCCGTGCACACCCTGGGGAGACCATAGGACACCGATACCGCTGCTCCCTGGACCTCTCCCGGGGTGCGCTCTGACCAGGACTTTGACGCGAAGCCAGCGGTGGCGACGAGGGCTTCCCAGGAGACCCCAAAAGCACCAGAGGCCGCTCCGGAGAAGGGTCGCTCTTGGGGGAAGAGGAGTAATTACAGGAGGAGGAGGAGGAGGAGGAGGAGGAGGAGGAGAACCAGGAGGAGGAGGAGAACCAGGAGGAGGAGGAGCAGCAGGAGGAGAAGGAGGAGGAGAACGAGGAGAAGGAGGCGGAGGAGAACGAGGAGGAGGAGGAGGAGGAGGAGGAGGAGGAGGAGGAGGAGGAGGAGGAGGAGGAGGAGGAGGAGGAGGAGGAGGAGGAAGGAGAACGAGGAGGAGGAGAAGGAGGAGAAGGAGGAAGAGGAGAACGAGGAGAAGGAGGAAGAAGAGAATGAGGAGGAGGAGGAGAAGGAGGAGGTGGAGGAGGAGATCCCCCAAACGCACCCCCGTGACTGCACTGGAACGCCAGGGGAAAGCGGGCGAAGGGCAGCGGCATCGGCACCTCTGACACCCGCCGACCTCCAGAGGCCCCGCCGCCTGCCGACCCGCCGCGGGGGGGCACGCCGCGCCGAGGCCATCCCGCGGCCCCGCCGCGCCGCCCGCCCCGCCCCGCCGGCGGGCGACGCCGCGGCCTCCTCGCGCCACCGCCGCGCGCACGCCGCCGCCGCCCGGAGGCCCGCGGCGGGCGCGCGGCAGCCGCGGGCGCCGCGCCCGCCCGGCCTCGCCGAGGGCCCCGCCGCCCCCTCGGAGAGCTCTCGCCGCCGCGCCGCCCTGCCGCCTCGCCGCCCTCGCCGCCGCCCTGAGCGCACGCGCTGCCCCCCGCGCGTGCCCCGCGAGCGCTGCCTCGCCCGGCCTCGGCTGCCCGGGCGCCCTCTCGCCGGGCCGGGCCCCGCCGGGCTCGGGCGGGTGCCACTGGGGGGCCCCCCTGGGAGTCTCCTGCGAGCCTCTCACGTCCCGACATGTTCGGCGACTCCGAGAGGTGTGCCTTGCAAAGAGTGGCGCTTGCAAACCGCACCCCGGGGTCACCCCGGGGGACGGGAGGGGGCCTGGATCGGCGGTGGACAAACCTCCCTCTAGTACACCTCCCCTTAGAGAAAACGGCCTGGGACCGAAACCGACGGACCTGGACCCGCAAAAATGACGGCCGCGACGCCCTCTCGCGAACCGAAGACGGCCAATTCGCTAATCGACGTGTCAGGGTAGGAAGCCTGTCCACCCCCGAAATGGGGGGGGGACTCAAGTGGGGGTTGAACAAAAAGCGAACTGGAGGCCCTTCAGGGAACCTTTCGGGCCCCGTTGGGAGCCAGCGGGTGCCCGAAAGGGAGGGCCCCTTGAGGGCCGTTCTCTCCACGCCCCATTTGGGTCAGGTCGGGCATGCCCCTCTACAGGCGGATGTTAGACGAACAACAAAAAGTTGAGAACAAAAACTCACGCGTGCTCAAAACATAACCACACAAACGCGCCTCATCACGATTCTGAAATATCAGTGATTTTTGGAGGAGGAGGAGGAGGAGGAGGAGGAGGAGGGGGACCGGGCCGGCGCAGCATCTAGGCACCCTCCCGTTGGCACCCGCCCGCCAGGCCGCTGGCCCTTAGCCCCTCTCTGCCCTCTCGGCGTCCCCGCGCCAGCCCCCCAGCCAGGACCTGCCCCGCTCGGCGTCGGCGCGCCCGACGGCCCGCTCCAGCTCCGAGGCCAGCAGCGGGGCGCTGAAGAGCTGCTCGGGGATCACGGCCACGTACACCCGCCGCTTGCTTCAAGTCGGGCGTGTCCCCTCTACAGGGGGATTTTCGACGAATATATATATATATAAATATATATATATATAAGAAATGCGCAAAAAATGCTCCACCATGGTCAACAAAATGCTCCCCAGACTTTTTTGTTGTTGACTAGTTTGGATTCTTCCTCCTGCAGAGGGACGGGCCCGACTTAACGCTTGCTGAGCCCCTCGTTCACCCGCATCTGCCGGTGCCACCTGGGCGCCGGGCACGCCGGCGGGGCCGCGCGTGGGGCGCCGCGCGGAGACGCGGGCCGCGTGGAGAGGAGGGCGCCTGCGCGCGGCCGGCCCCGCTTCCGATCCCGAGGGGTGCCCTCGGGGCACAGAAGTCAATAGGCACGAAGAACAAGGACTGTTCGTATGTTGTCAGATTTTTGGGGGATCGACGATTGATGATGTCTCGGCGTTTTTGTTCCGAATTCCGCCGCCCACCTGTAGCTACTCTGGGTACGCCCGGCCACGTAGCCCACCAGGAAGGCCGACATCACCGACGGCACGAGCACCAACCGCATGTTGAGCTGAGGCTGCTCGGGCTCTGGCGGCACCTCCTGCTTCCGACCCAGCATCGCCTCTATCTTCTCCGAGAGGTGGTTCATCTCGCCCTCGACCCTGGCGTAGTGCAGGCGCCGGGCGGTGTACACCGCCCAGCCGGCGAGCCCCGAGGAGGCGGTGCCCATGAGCCACAGCAGGGCCTTGTGTTCCTCGACGACCTCGCCGATGGTGCGCACCGCATCCCTCGAGTTCTCGTAGGCCGACCGCAGGCGTCCCACCATTCGGCTCACCATGGCTTCGCGCTCTGCCCGTCCGCCCTCCCAGACCCCCCCTGCGCAAAGAGAGATCTCTCTCTCTCTCTCTTCCACCGCGCAACGCCTGGCCAAAAGCGCTTGGCACACGTTTGAGCCAAAATGGCTACGGTCGCACACATACAAACATACACGCAGACGCACACACACACACACACCGAACGCGTTTCGGACAGGTGCGAGGCTTGGCGGAGGAGTACCACGAGCTTTTAGCAGGGCCCGCCGCCGACGAGCGGGCTCGGCGCATCAAGTTGATCCTGCCTTGCGTACATCCCACCAGCGGGGCTAGGCTTGTGGATACCACGGCAATGGACACCCCTACAGTCCGATCACCGAATAAAAGACGTGTTTAACATGTCGGAACACGCGATGACATACTTCAACCATGTTTTGCACATGTTTAAAAACATCAAGTGCAACACATGTTTTAGACTAACCTTATATGGAGGGCGTCCCGCTTCACTGTGCAAACAATGAATAGGCATGAGAATGTTTGACAAATGCTCAACAACATACTGCCGAACTATATGTTTAAATACTTGAACCCTACCTTTTAAAACGCTACCGACTATATCTATATTATGTTTGATAACATTGTCGCATGATTCTTCACAGACACGCCACCCACGCCTTCGAAACAGCGGCGCGCCCAACGATGCGAACGAGAAAAGAGCGTCGACGCGCAAGGCAACCAGGCGGATGACGAGGAGTTGGTCGGAGGGATAACGAACAACGAAGGATGCCAAGGGGGAAGAAAGAGGAACGGATGACAATAGTGAGCGGAGGGCATGGAGGAGGAGAGGGCGATGAACGCAAGGACGGTGAGCGCGACACGACGAGGAAGGGGAACCATAAGGAGGGAACGGCACGACCCCTTCCCCCGAAGCCCCCCTCAACCCCCATCCCCTCTCACCCATCGTCTTCCCCCTCGCCTCCTATGACCGTTCCCCCCCGTCCCTGGCCCCATTATCCCACTTAACAACATCGCTCTCCAATTCGGCATTTGTCATCTTGTTCTAAACCATCATCGTCACGACTGCCCCTCCTCTCTCTATCTCAGCCTCCTCCTCGCCATGCTCCTTCTCATCGTAGTCCTCACCTCCTCCTCTCGTTATCCTCCTCATCGCCATCACCATCGCCATCCCAATCGTCACCTTCATCGTCACCGTCACCATCATGATCATCACCATCATCGACGGCGCCAACAGGGGCCCACGAGGAGGACCACGAAACGAACAGTCTAGCCTTCCGCCCTGAGAAGCGCCCAGGAAGCCCCCCAAGCGGCCCCAAACCCTCCCCAAGAGGCCCAAAAGAGGCCCCCAAGAAGACCAAAAGAGGCACCCAAACGGCACCCGAGAGGCTTCGAAATTGCTTCCAAGAGGCCCGCGACCCCCCCCCCCCCCAAGAGATCCCAGCGAAGATCCAACAGGCCTCAGGCCCAATGTAAGTAAATACTGCGCGAAGACCTCCCTAATAGCTTGGACTCACCCGCAAACATCTCCCATCTTCTGGGGGTCGGAGAGATGGCGCAAGCCTCTAGGGTAGAGGGTGGAGCAGGGGAAGCAGAAGGGGCAGGGGCGAGGACGGGGGAAGCGACAGCTGACACCCTTTCGTGTTTTCCCAGGGCTGGGCGCGCGCTCGCCCCCAGGAGTTCGCGAGCGGGCTTGCTCCGAACCCACCGCCCCGCCGCCCTATGCGGCGAGGCCCCAAGAGGAAGAGGCTGGCGCGAGCCTCGGGCGGCAGATCCCGCTACCTTATCATTTCATCTTCAGAGCGTCGCGGTAGCGGGCCGTGAGAGGGTCGGGCAGGTCCGCGGGCGAAATATTGTACTTCCGAATCTTCGCCTGCACTGTCGTCATCTTGGACCGCAGCTCGACTTTGTTGTTCATCAGGTTGGCGTCGCCGAAATATTGGCAGAGCTCGAGGCAGACGCGCAAAGACCTGATCTTCAGCAGCTCGGCTTCGAGCGCAATGGACCCCTCCTTGTCGATTGTGATGCCGAACTCTCCAGCTTTGCCCTTGAGCTCCTCCGCGTCGGCATCGAGCACGCCGCGCCTGTCGAGCCAGTCCGAGTAGTTCGCGTCCACGGGCCCATTCTTAGCGACGTCCACGATATCGTCGAGGTGAACGTCCGCGTCGCACCGCAGTGTCCACTCAACCATGCCAGTGGTTTCCTGCATCGCAGTCTTCAGCGCCACCAGCTTGTTGTCAATCTCGGCGTTCATGTCGCGCACAGTCTTCGCCCCGATATCCTTGATGTAGCTCCTCGCCAGCTCGGCCCTGTCTGCCAGCAGCCCAGACGCACCCACGGCGAATCGATCCAGCAACGTCGGCCCCGAACTCATCTTGTACTTCTGCAGCGCCCTGACCATGTCACTCACCAGGGCGTCGCGCTGATCTGAGGTGGACCGCGGGGCCTCAGAATCAGCATCGTCTGAAGCGCCCTTCAACTTCTTGAAAGCCATCAGCGGCCGCCACGCCGCATTCGTCATCGCCGAGACCTTCGTGCACGCGTCGGCTGGGAAGCTGGCGCGTGGCCAGCGAGTAACTCCAACGTGTCGCACAGAGAGCCGCCGACGTGCACCATCGGGCCACCCGGTAAGTTCCCCACTGCCTGCCGCACAACGCTCTCGAACAACTTGTAGCAATTTTCGCGGACATCGTCGGGCAGCTCCTTGGCGCGGCAGTCGTGGAGTGCACCGCGAAGGCGGCGGGACTTCTCGCCGTCGGCCTGCCAGTCGCGAAGAGCCTGCATGACGATGGCGCGCTTGCTTGTCAAATCCATGTCCAAGAGCTTGCCGCCAATCTGCTGCGCCGACCGCTCGACGTCCTCATCAGCTGGGAAGAGGGTCGACGTCTCCTTGAACATATCCCTGAAGGCATACAAGACTGCCGCTGGATTCTCGTCGGGTGCGTCCTGAACGGCAACGGTACTGCCGTTGACGACCCCTCCCGCCACCAACTAACCGCACAGCTTGACCGCCTTCTCGAGCAACGCAGCCTTCACGTTCACCGTCACGCCGTCGTGGATCCGCACGTCCCAGTAGGGGATCTCCTTCGCAATATTCAGCAAGCTCTCGCCGACCGCCTTAGTGGGCACGGAGTTCGTGGAGAGCGCCGTGAGCTCCGCCTGAGCTGCTTGCAGATGCACGCCGTGCTCCTGGAGTGCCTTCGAATGCCCGTTCACCCGGGTCGGCTTCTTCGACCAGTAGTCCCCTGCCGACGTCAGCAGCGACTTCCCAACGAGCCTCAGGACGCTCTGTCCGCCGATGGCGCGCTTGGCCTCGGACTCGATGGCGCCGATGGTTTCGAAGATCTCCAGATTCAAATCATACGAAAAGCCCTTGGCCTCCAGAGCCTGAATGATCTTTGCCGATGGGGTGGCCTCGGGAAGGCACTGCGCAGAATTCTCCCCCAACACCGCGTCCTCAGGAAGAAGGTCCCAATGAGCGATTGCCTCCTCCACGAATAGCAGCACGTCCTTCACCCTGGAGTTGCCCGTGCCCAGCAGCTCACAGAAGTTGCCGCCGAACACCCAGTCCATGAAATACTCTGCGATCTCGGCGTCGTCATCGCAAGCCTGGACAAGCTTCACGCAACACGGCTGGATGGTGTCGGTAGCCACTTCGCCAGGGTTCACCCACGGAGCAGTAGCACTGAAGAATTTCTGCGAAAATAATCTCGTCTTCGGCTCCGCGTTCTCAGCGTCGCCCACTTCCTTCCAGATCTTGGCTACGCTCCTCTTGGCGAGGCCTTCGAGGCAAGGCCTCGTGAAGGTGGCGCCTCAGTAGTCCCCTGCCGAAACAACTAACCGCTAGGCTCACCGACTAACGCTCGACCGCTGGCCGACGACTTCCCGTCGCAAGCCGCCACCATTTTTCGAGCGCCATCCGAACACGTGTTGCGAGGCGTGCAGGCTGCCCCCAGGAAGAGAAACACACGAACACACACACACACACACACACACACACACTTTTCCTCCGGCGGCAAGTGGCGGCACTGTCGCGAGGAACTACGGCGGGGCACACGTGGACACATGGACATAAGCACCACACACACAAACATGAAGCCTGATCGATCCGGAATGCGCGTCAAGTCGGGCTGCATCGGCACGAAGCCGGAATCGAACCGAATCGAATCGGCTGCGCCTGGCTGCACAACAGCGCCGCGCAAGCACAGGGCCGCCCCAGATCGACGGAACATCGGAATCAAATCGGATCGAGCTGGCCGAAACCGACATAGAACCGAGCCAATCGTATCGGAATGGGCCCTGCATGGGCCATATACAAGTCTGTTGGCGGCGAGCCTGGGGGGAAGTGAGAAGGTGCAGGCCTTCTCAGAAAGCTCGCAAGTCCCACAGCCCCCTGAAAAGTTTTCTGTGCTTTCCCCGAAGGCACAGACACCCCTTCAGAAGGCGCGAGGGCTTCTGGGAAGCCCCGCCGCCTTCTGAGAAGGCCCTCTGCTTTTCGCTCCCCCCCCTCGTTCACTGCCGAATCTGGTTTCTGGGTCAACACTCGGGTCGTCTCTGGCGGGCCTCCGGGACGAGGCGGCACCCGCGGACCGCCGGCGGCGAGGCGCAGCTGCCGGCAAGGCACCCCGAGGCTGAAAGACCGCTGGGAACCGACGGCAACGCCGCAAGACCTCGGACCCCGAGCCCGGAGTCCCCCTCCCCCTCGCTCGCGGTCGAGCATCAGGGGAGCCACCGGGGCCCCGTCCGAACGTCGGCCCGGCTCACGCGGCTCGCACGGCTCTGAAGCGTGCCTTCTCGTTCTCGTTTCCCCCCCTTGCTCGCCGCCGAGGTCTGGTCATCACCGCCCGGCGCCGTGGACCAGCGGCCAGCGAGAGACCGCGGGCTGGCGCTCGCTCGGCAGCGGGTCGCGCAGCCTCATCGCGAGGCCAACCGCGCACACACAAACAAACAAGCGCACACACACACACACACACATCGAGTAGGGGATCGTCTACGGAATGGATTTCACACATTAAACGTTCTCGTCGAGTCAAACGTAGCATGTTCGTAGACATACGAAAACTCTACGCATTTCCCATGGTCTCGACGAACAAATCAATTCTGGGGTAAATCAATGGGAGTCGATCCCCTATTCGAA